ACTTAAATTAGAAACAAGCTTCTTTTATATGTTAATCTCAGTTCCCTCTCCATCCCCTCCTGCCCAGCCCCCACCCCCATCAACCCCTATCCCAACCCCTTTCTGCTTTTTACTAAACTGATTTCTTAAATATTTGGGGAGGGGAAGAAGGGGAATGATTCTGTCTCCTGTATCCCAGGATGGCTTCAAACTCACTAAGTATTCAAAGATGACCTTTAATTTCTGATAATCCTGATTTCAACTGCAAGTGAGTACAACTGCATGCTGACAGACAAGCATTCTACCAACTGCCACATCTCCAACTACCATAAATACCTTTCTTCTCTGTCTCTGTGTCTCTGTCTCTACCTTTTTTGAGTCAGGGATTCTCTGTGTATACCTGGCTATCCTGGAACTCATTCTAAACACCAGACTGGCCTTGAACTCACAGAAATCCACTTGCTTATGCCACATAAATGCTGTGATTAAAGGCATGAGCCACTACCATTTGGTCATAAATATCTATTTAATAGCAACGATTTTCTTTAAAAAACAAGTTCAGAGGTGGCTGTACACCTTTAATCCCAGCACTCGGGAGGCAGAGGCAGGCAGACTTCTGAGTTTGAGGCCAGTCTGATTTACTGAGCTAGTTCCAGGACAGCCAGGGTGGTTACATGGACCAAAAAACCAACCAAGCAAGCAAGCAAGCAATCAAACATCAGCCTACATACTTGCAGGTGTCACTATGTTGTTCAGTCTAGTATGAAACTTGTGACTTTCCTGACTTAGCCTCAGAGTAGATGAATTATACATACCCACCACTGTGCTTGACTGTCCCTAAAGGTCCCAACACAAAAAAAGCTAAACTTGAGATCTGACAAGTTTTTTATTAATGCCTATTTGATTTTACGTGTGTATATATAAAATCCTTTACCTGCATGTACAAATGCATGCTATGCTCTTGGAGTCACCCAATCCCAGTCAAAGATTGTTGTGAGTCACAACTCAGTTTTCAGACATGAAAACAACACTGAGATTTAAAATACACTGGGCAAATTGATGAGCGGGTATATACCATAGAAGAAAAACAAACAAACAAACAAACAAACAAAAAAACTACTGAACTGGAAGGTACCACATAGCAAAGTAGCTAAAATAAAAGACAAAGAAAAAAAAGAGTTTAAAGAATGAAGGAACGACAGTGAACTATCAAACACTGTCCAATGTGTGAAGGTAGGGAAAAAAAATCTGAAGACCCAATGGCTGAACAAAAACCCAGACAAGAAGCTCAAGGATGTAAAGCAAACTTCAAGCCAAGGCACACAAAGGATATACTAGGATATCATCATACAACCAATCAAAACCCGTAATAAATGAAAAGTAAGGGGTTGGTAAGAGGTAGGAGCTACCATAGCAAGGATGACAGATGTTTTATCAATAATAAGTCAAGGATGAAGAGTGTGTGTAATGGCTTTCAAGGAATGAAAGAAAACTAAATTAGGCAAGCCAAAACTATGTGTGGTAAAAATACTACTCACAACTAAATATAAAACAAAAATGTGTTCAAAGAAAGCTAAGAGCATTTGTGACCAATGCACCCAATTACAAGAATTGTCAAAGACTGCCCTATGAGGCTCAAGGTCAGCGATGCCAGACAGAAAGCTGAGTTGAAGGAAAAAGAATGAACAACGGAATGGCAATTACACAAACAAATACATGTTTAATTACTCATTATTTAATTCTTTTTCATTTTAAGATTTTTTATTTATTATGTATACAACATTCTGCCTCCATGTATATCTGCACACCAGAAGAAAGCACCAGATCTCATTAACAGATGGTCGTGAGCCACCATGTGGTTGCTGGGAATTGAACCCAGGACCTCTGGAAGAACAGTCGGTGCTCTTAACCTCTGAGCCATCTCTCCATAAAAGACATAACATATACAAAATAATGTTATAGTGTTTATAAAATATAAGTATATGTTATACTGTGTGTTTTGTAAATTACATATTAATAAACATTTAAAAACCAAACAATTAAAAATTATAATGAAATTAAAATGTAACAATGGCTACATAAAGATCAGTAGGGATAAAATGGAAACAGTGTTTCAAGGTTTTCACACTGTAAGAGAAGTCAAATCATATAATTTGAAAACAAGCTATGAGGAGTGAAAGATGTATGCTATTAAAATCTAAAAATAGCAGAGAGAGTAGGAGGAAGAGAAAGGGACACACACATAGTTGGGGGGGCAAGAGAGAGAAAAGAAATAACATATAGGAGATAAAAATACTAAATAACACAAAAGGACAGAAAAGAATAAACAATAGAGAGGATAAATATAAAGACAAACTTAAACTCAATTATATCAATAATCACATTCAACAGAAATGATGTACAGATTCCTATTGAGAGGCAGACAATGTCAGGGTGGACCAAAGTAAAACCCAACCATCTGTTTGCATGTATTTAAAAACAAAAATAATTCTTTAAGAAAAATCAACAGTGAACTGGCTATATTAATAGTAGACAACAGATTTCAGTGCAAAGTGTTTTAGCTGGGCATTGTGGCTCCCAGCTGTAAACCCAGGATTTAGGCGACTGAAGTAAGATCTTCTTGAGTTGAAGGCTAATCTGAGGCTAATCTAGCCTATATAGTGAATTTCAGGCCACCTTGTGTCACAAAGTAAGACTATATCAAAAGCAAGTGAGTGAGGTGGGGGGAGGGAGGGAGGGAGTGAAAGAGAGACAGAATATGAATAAATATTCTCTTTTCTGAAGTAAATTGATTTATGAAAAGATATAGGTTTGCCCGGCAATAAAAAAGATCAGTAAACATACAGAGTAACACTAAGAGCTACTAGCTACACTCAGATTGAGCGGCAATCCATTTTGATAACTCTTTTGGTTAAATATACAATACAAAGCCTAAAAGTAATCAAAATTTGCCAGGAGGTGGTTGTGAACGCCTTTAATCCCAGCAATCGGGAGGCAGAGGCACGTGGATCTCTGTGAGTTCGGGGTCAGCCTGGTCTATAGAGTGAGTTCCAAGACTGACTCCATAGCTATTGAGAAACCCTGTCTCAAAAAGAAAAAAAAAAAGTACTCAAAATTTTATTAATCTGACCAGAATTACTCCATGTATAACTTAAACTAAACTTTGGTGTGACTAGTACCTTAAATTTCATTCACCAAGTTTATCCAGATGTGTTATGCTATATAATCATTAAAAAAAAATGACTTGGGAAGCCAGACAGGCTCAGGCTCAGCAGGTAAAGGTGCTTGCTGACAACTTAAGTTGGATGCCTGAGACAAACATTGGAAGCAGAGAACTGATTCCAGCAAGTTGTCTTCTAATCCTACACAGGCTACATGGCAGTCAGGTGCACATGCACATACAAACACACCCCACCCCTCAACACAACAAATACATAACTGGAGAGAAGATCATTTTACAAACAAAAGTAATGAGCTGTTTACAAGTTGGGTCTTCAGTCCTTTTGCTACAGTACCACCACTCACTAAGTTGCCTAGATAAAGTTCACTGTATAATCATTTTGCAATGCTTGTATAGTCATCAAATTATTATGCTTCCAAGTAGGTGTATATTTTACTTGATACTACTCGATACATAGAAATCTACCACCAGACTCTGAAGCACAGAGAACTGTAATGTACAGGTTAAAATATTTTACAACAGAATATACTTCCAGCTTAATAGTCAATTAATAGAGATATTATGTTAAATTTGAGGTGGCACACTATTTGAAAAATACAATTTTATACACCAAGTGACTTGAAATAGCAATTAAATGATACACTTATTGTCCAAACACTTGGGAGACTGAGTCAGAATGATCATAGAATTTGCAACCAGCTTGGGCTACCTAGTGAGATCCTGTTGCAAACAAATAAAAATAACCATACTATAAAAACACACTGTTAATGCCTTAAAGGAAAAATTAGGTTATTTTAAGATATGGAATAAAATGAAATAATAAAGACAGAAAAATCTTGAATTCTAGAAATGTTTTTTTCACATACTGGCTGAAGACGTAATATGACTTCCCATTATGTAATCCCAATGTAAGCATTTATGTGACATTTATAAAGGGGTAGGAAGCGCAATGCAGAGAAATCAATAGCAATATTGTCAAGCCTACAGCAGTGGACATAAACATGCTGTAGGAGACATTAACACTAGACTGAAATAAATAAATATATTTTCAATAAACACACATCTACAGGATAATCAATTTCATACACTCCCTCCCAGCTATTTCACACAGCTCTGACAGTTGAATGGCAGGAGCTGTTTGATCAACACTGTGCATGACATGAGATCCTGCTACTTAGTAACAGCTATATACTCCTGTTTGAGCGACCATCTTCAACTCCTGCAACAGCAAGGTAATCATTGGGTGATTAACTCAAGAGAATCTTTAGTGTACTTCACCTCAGAAATTAATTCTTAACCAATTATTTTTATGTCAGAGAATATAACTCAAATTATATGCTGCCCTATTTCCAGATTTAAGAGATTTGTTACAATCAATGTTTCTGAAATATTAAATTAAAAGGTGTCATGCTAATTACTATGGAATAAATAGCAATTATAATTCTTTTGAGGCAAATAAGCTCAAACTGTTAATAGTACATACTTATATTGCTACTGTTTTCCACAATGTTCATATCATTTATAAGTTGCTAAAAAATGTTTAGAAAACTATTTCAAAAAAAAAATCTCATGAATCTGATTTAATAGGTTAGAATACTGTGCGAAGAGAAGTTTTTTTATAATATCTCTAAAGCAGTAGACTTGAAGGTGGAAACACACATTACACATCCATAAAGATTATTTCTGTTGTGTGATTGTCACAGTGAATTAAGCATATGCTTGATATAGGCACATTATCTTCAGGGTCAGGGAAAGGCTTTTTGTTGTTTTTTGAACATATACCAGCTGACAGCTTTCATCTATCATGTCACTATGGCTTCAAATGTGAAGAAGCACTTACGGCTATGTAGTATACTCTGGCCTTCTCTACCAGCACCCAGTTATTCTCCAAATCAAGATGCTTTTCCTTTTTGTAACAGTTGGCAGCAGCAAGGTTAGCAACAAGAGACCTAAAAACCCAAGAAGTAGGAAATACGTTTTACTTATAAAAGATTAAAAAACTTGTCAGGTATTTAATACAGAAATGAACAAATTCTTCAAAGGCTGATATTGTAGATAGTGAAGATTGAGATGTGCCTCAAGCCTTTAGGACAGGAGAGAAGGAAAACAGCCTAAGCATCACCTAAAATTCTAAGGCTAGTATATGAGTTTCTTTTTAATTCCAAAATAACATTTACTTTTATACATTAATACAGTTAAGAAATATTCTACTAGCTCATTCTGAAATAGGAAATCTACATAAACCAAAATTTCATTTTTATGGTAGGAAAATATCTTTATAAAAATACGACCAACAGACTATAATTGACTTTAATTCAATGCTTTAAGAGCCCAATATGGGATTAATTTCATAAAACACACATATAAATGGAGATCATATTTACTATGAGGAATAAATTTGCAAGCATTACATTTTAAGGACTGGCATCAATTAGAACCAGGTCATGTAGATGAAAACTCCTGGGCAGGGTTATTTTATAGCTGGAAAATTTAAACAGCATACTACATTTAAAATCTGGCTATTATGTGCCACTGAAATTGTTTAGTTTTAACCCAACAATTAAATTTAATGAAATAAAAAATTATTTACATTTCACATAAATATAAATATAAATATTTGGGATTTTTTTCTCTATTAGTAAGTTAAAACAGTAACAATTATGGCTTAGAGAAAGATGACCTCATCGTTTGAGACTCTGGTGATATTTAGTTCTTCTATCTACATGAAAAATTTCTCTTCCAAAACAATTTTCCAACTAACTATATTAATTTATTCCTGAATGATACATCTGTTTATATTAAAATAAAGTTAGGGAGATATGAGGAATCTCAAGGATATGCTCAAATACAAATCATGAATATAAAGAATCAGTACCATTCCTTTTGTTTGGTGCCAGGAATTGAGCCCACTCATAACTTACAAAACAGCCTAATCATGGAGTATGATTTTTCATTGGAACACTTCCTTGTTAACTTTTATTTTAATCACAAAACAATATTTGAGTTCAGAAGCTGCCTAACAGAATAATCTACCTATTCTGCCATTTTCCAGCAATTGTATTATGAATTAGAGTCCCCTACTCCCACTGCCCATTTCAGAGTTTTTTTCTTAAATACCAGAGTAGGTCTCATGTCTCCCAGGCTGAGTTTGAACACACGATTATAGACAGGGGCTGCCACATCATGTTTATGCAGTGCTGGGAAGGGAACCCAAGGGCTGTGCACTCTATAACTGTGCCTCATCCCCAACCCCAATCCCATGAATAACATGGGTCAGCAAAGCTCTAACACTGGTGGACAAATTGAGTTTTGACTTCTGTAGGATATAATAATTATTCTTTAAAACAGCAAGTTAGTATGTAAGGACAACTTGGCAATTTTATTCTAGATTTCGTGATGTCAGAAGCAAAACTTGAGCCATTTATCATTAATGGGAAAACCATACTTAAAAAATAAAATTTCTTTGCCAGGCATTGATGGCGCATGCCTTTAATCCCAGCACTCAGGAGGCAGAGGCAGGTGGATCTCTGTGAGTTCAAGACCAGCCTGGTCTACAACAGCTAGTTCCGGGACAGCCTCCAAACCCACAGAGAAACCCTGTCTCAAAAAAAACCAAAAAAACAAAAAAAAAAAAACAAAAAAAAACAAAAAACAAACAAAAAAAAAACCCAAAAAACAAAAAACACAAAACTTCTTTTAGGAAAGCTGCAAGAGGAAAAGTTCTAAAGAAGTACATTTGAATGTTGGATAGCTGAATATATAGAGATCTTAGTTTGAATAATGAATAATTTAATTAATTGAGACCTGAAAACTATCACATTCTTCTAATCACAAACAAAACCAAAAACACATTAAAGGAAAGATCTAAAAATTACTTTTGTTCCCTAATATTCTTGAAAGCTTTATGTTATATATTTTATGACTATTGTCCACACTGGTCCTCAGTACTCAGGTCCTAATATGATTCTGCTGGAGGCCAACCTGGAAGCCAAAATAAAGAAGTCGAGAAAGGGAATGGTCTTAATTTTCTTTCTATTTGCTGTGATAAACACCATAACAAGGAACAAAATGGCCAGAAAAGGGTTTATGTGTCTTACATTTCCAGGATAGCATCCATCCATCACTGAGGGAGGTCAGGGCAGAAACTCAAGCAGGAACCTAGACACAGGAGCTGATGCAGATATTATGGAGGATCACTGCTTACAAGCTTGCTTCTCATGGATTGATTTGCTAGCTTTCTATATAAGTCAGGACCACCTCCCCAGGGGAGGTACTGTCCACAGCAGGCTGGATTCCCCCACATCAATCATTGATCAAGAAAATCCCCATGGACATGTCTACAGGCTCATCTGAGGGAAGCTTTTTCTCAACTGAGGTTCCTTTTTGAATAAATAACTCTAGCTTATGTGAAATTTAAAAAATCTTGCCAGCAGAGGAGTGGATAAGGATTGAAAAACAGCACAAATAGAGGACAAATTATATATTTATAAGTACAGGGGACACAGCCAGGCACTCCACACTTATAACCTTGACACTGTGGGAGGCAGACATATAAGGATAGATTCAAGTTTGACACTGGTTTGGTCTATGTAACAAATTCCAGGCTAGCCAGGGCTATATCTGCACACCTGTCTTAAAAAAAATCAAACAAACCAAACGACATACAAAGAATGCAAAATTTGTGGTGGACCAATATTTAAAGTAGGTAAAATTTGAGGATTCTAATAAAATCCTAACAGAGGTGGTGATTTTGTTTTTCCTATGCAAAGGAGAAAAGAGGTTTCACTGATGTGGTGCTAAAACATTACAAATGTATGTGTACACTGCAGAGTTACCCGAACAGTTACAAAACTATAAGTAAAACCAATGCATGGAAGGCAACAAGAGATATAACAGACGTTCATATGGAGAAGAATTTTCTACTAAGTAAACTTGGTAGACAAGAGGGCTGGGACTAACAATACCAGCCACCAGCTCTATGAATTTTTCTGCTTTGTGGCCCTGGCTGGGGCAGTAGGGACTAGACCCAAATGCTGGTAGAGAGTGTTTGGATTTTTCTGCTACATACCCAAGATTTTGAAAAGGGTTTGATAGCAGCTCTCTGCAAGATGTAAAATGAAGAGCTACTCATTTTAGTCCTTTCCATGTCTGACTGGAAAAGTGACAGCAGGCAGTCCTCAACCCATGGCATGCACCATCTGGGCCTCTCTGATTTGTTTTAATATAGCATATTTTACTGCAGAAAATGTCATATTTAGTCACTCTACAGCCCTGTGACCTACTCTGGTTGTTTGACCCCTATCTTTTTTCCTGAGTATCTTTTGTTTTCTGTTGATTTCAAGAATGGTAGTACCAATGACCATGTGTTGTTGAGCAACCCCAGGGGCTCACATTACTGTAATGTGAAGCCACTTTGCTATATGAACAATAAAGACTTCTGAAATGTAATAAAAACTTGTTTGTGTGTTGTTTCCCTCCACCACCATTCCCATCTCCACATGCAGGGTCTGACTCTGTAACTCATCCCAGATATCAAAGTAGTGGTTTTCTTATGCTGGCCTCTTAAATATTTCAATTGTATAGGCATGAGCTGTGACACTTGGCTTGGTTCCAGGTTGTCCAGGTCTACACAGAGAAACCCTGTCTCAAAAAACAACTATAAGCCAACTTTTAATTCCAGCACTCGGAAGGCAGAGGCAGGAGGATCTCTGTAAGTTCCAGGACAGCCTGGTCTACAGAGTGAGTGCCAGGATAGGCTCCAAAGCTACACAGAGAAACCCTGTCCCAAAAAACAAAAAACCAAAAAAAAAAAAAAAAAAACCCAAAAAACAAACAAACAAAAAACCCCCCAAATAAACCAAACCCAAAACAAAACAACCCCCACAACCCCAATCAACCAAGTAAAAAAATAAAAAAACCCACTATAAACCAAAACAAAAAAACAAACAAAAACATGCATAAGGTTTCACCTGCATCTATAACAACAAAACAGAACACATCAAGTTGAGAGGCAGAAATTTTGTGTAAGGGAAACAGGGGAGTGGATTTTATCAAACATATTGTATACATGTATGACATTCTTAAATAATAAAAAAATTAAACACATGAAGGTAAAAAAATAACACAAGGACATTAGAAATGATTATCAGCTTGAAGTGAATTTCAAACTGTCATTTGGGTTTAGTAAGAGTCTCCACAGCTCTGAGGGTAGGGTGCTCCTGGTTGATAATGACTTACCTGTTGTCACCAGTGATGCATGCAGCGCAGGTTCCAGTTGGCTGCTCATTCTGCTCATAGTAATGGGCATCCACGTGGGCCTCAGCAGCTTTACTCTTCAGAATCTCCCCAAATTTATCTATCCCAATGCATCCAAAGAAGGTCGCTGCTTTGTGTGGCTTCTGGATCATCCACTGAAAAGTAAGAACATAAATGACTGGATGGATCAGAAACAGTACAGATAATTTCGGACTCTGCCATGTATGGGGGCTTGAAAGGCAAGCTTTGTGATGCTGATGAACGGAACTTCAACACTGCACTACTGCTGAGGAAAACAAGCTTGACAAAACAGCTGCGCGTATCTTATTCTGGTATGTGAGAAATAGATGTAGAGTAGACCAGTTTAGGGGTAGACAAAGAGAACAGTGCATTAAAACTCAGAAGTTCAAGTCATAAAGATGTTAAATCAAATGCTGGCTGTTTACAGGGAAATCAAAGTTCAGTGACAATAAAATGAGACAGCATAGTATTTTCATGGAAAAATACAGAATCCACTTCGAAGACTCTTTTGATATCATGTTTGCCCCTGACTAGTTGTGGAATTAATAACATGTCACTTGATCATTCAAACCTTTTTCCTGAAGATTTTTTTTTGTTGTTACACAGGTCTCACATTATAGCCCAGGCTGGCTTAGAACTTACTTTAGAACACAGGGTAACCTAAAACTCACAGAAGTGTTTCTGGCTCATACTCTTTACCTCTGGGATTATAGACACTAACCACCATCTTGGCATCACTTAGCCTGTCTACAGCTTACTTCCCTCATCTGTAAAATGGGGAAATGATTTAAAGAAAATGCTTCATAAAATAGCTGGAGACTAACTGAAATAATACAATTAAATGTATATGCAAATCTGAGCATAGTACCCACGAGACAATAAGCAATACCTATCAGATGCCACAATCAATATTTTTATACTTCTTGAAATAATTCATCCATAAAACATGCTCATATTTAATACCATTAAAATGACAAATGTTCACAATTATGGCTGAGTCATCCTAGAGCCTTTATCCAGTAGCTGATGGAAGCAGAAGCAGACACCCATAGCTAAATACTGAGCCAAACTCCTGGAATCCAGTTGCAGAAAGGGAGGATTGAAACAGCTGACCTGAACAAGGGGGAGCTCATGGACCCCAGACTGATAGCTGGGAAACCAACATAGGACTGATCCAGCGTGGGTGTCAGTTAGGATGCCTGGGCAATCTATGGAGTCTCTGGTAGTGGATCAGGATTTATCCTTCGTATATGAATGGACTTTGGGAGCCTAGGACTCTCAGCCTAGAAACATGCGGGAGGGTCTGGGCCCTGTTTCAAATGAAATGACAGACATTAAAGATCCTCCATGGAAGGCCTCACCCTCCCTGGGAAGCAGAAATGGGGATGGGATAGGGAGCTAGTGGTGGGCAGGGGAGGAGGGGAGAGAGCAGGAACTGGGATTAACATATAAAACAAGCTTGTTTCTAACTTAAATAAAAAAATTACAGCTGAGCATGATGGTTTATCCAACATCTGGGGGATGGAGGCAGGAGAGTCAGGAGTTAAATGTCTAATCTTGGCTACTTTGCAAATTTGAGAACTGCTTAGGTTCTATGAGACTCTGTCTTACCACCGCCACCCCCCCCACCCCCAACTTCCAGTAAGTACTGGACTGAGGATGGACTTCTGAGCTCTCATCACAGAAGGTACTTTTGAAGTAGATGGCAATTAATCAAGTCAATGGACATAGAATAAGATACTGTGAAATCTACAGCTCCAAATGAGACATCTATATTATACCCCTTATCCCAATGCTTGAGGATGATTGAGACTGAGAGGGCAGTGAATCGGTGCACTGGAACAGCATCTGCGTGATACGAGAGCGCTGCTGAACACATTCACTCACTGTGGCTATTACTGAGTGAGTAAGACTAGCAGGCGTTCAAACCTGCCAGAGTCAGTACTAATAAGGGAGGGGCTCTTGATGCCCCACCTCTATTTGAGGACCCATTGGCAACTGACTGCTGCTGGGGGTGGAAAAGTCAGCTTTCTTTAAGGATGCTGGTTCTGAGAGGCTACACATGCTCTAGAAGATAGATGTTGCTATCCCTATGCTTCTACAAATGAGTGAGAGAAAAGATCGAAAAGGGGGGGGGCATGGAGTGAGAGCTAAAAGTGGTAGTGGATGAGGGAGGAATGGGGGGATTTGATGCAGAAAGATTGTATGCATGTACAAATATTAAATTTCTAAGAGATGTTAAAATGCTAACTACAAATATCTCATCATGTCATTAAAGTGATTCTTATAAACTTAAGTATTTTTGTTGTGAATCATTCATAATGGATTTCTTTTAATATGCATGGTTTTCAATCATTTGAACTCTTTAAATTAGCTCAAGTCCCTGAGGCTTCTCATCTTTTATTAGTGATTCTAAAGAGACTATCTCTCTTGTTTCAAATATAGTTGTTAAAATTCCCTGTATGTTGAGAGAAAAAAAAAACACAACAATAATATAGGGGCCTGGAGTTATGGCTTAGATATGGCTTGCTCAAGACCCAGGTTCAATTCTCAACACCCACACTGAAACTCAACACCCACAATGGTCTATAATTCTAGTTCCAATGTATTCAATGCCTTCTTATGACCTTCATGGATAGTTACATACTTGTGATACAGTCACACATGAAAGGAAAACATACATACAGATAAAATACAAATAAATTTTTAAAATAAAAAAGCACCAACATAGATTTTGATAAAGGTATTTTCAAATAATGACTATAAAATGTATGTATATATGTGTATATATAGAATATATATAGAATATATATTTGAGGGATAAAGGAATTAGGACATAAATAAAAGATTAATAAAAGAAAGCTACAGAAATGACATACACTAACTACCTGATGACAAGGAGTCCTATTTCTAGAGATTTACACTTAAAATGTACACATTATAGATGTATTTACCCATATTTTGTCTAAAATGAAATAAAGTTACAAACAACAAAGCCTATGCATAGGACTTGTTGAATAACCTGGATGAACCTGTTTGATAGAAACACAAATCCCCACATGAAAACACGGAAGGGTCTAAGAAAACAAATCATCTAAGTAATTCTAGCATTTGGGAGGTAGATGCAAGGGGTTGGAGAGTGGGAGACGACCTGAGGATACAGAATGAGTTCAAGGCCAGCCTGAATTCCACAGGGAAACTCACTCAGTCTTAACAACTAAGGCCTGAGGATGTAACTTAGTGGCAAGCACTTGCCTGACCTGTATAAAGCCAAATGTTTCAATCTCCTGCATAGCAACAGATCCCCAAACCAAAAGGATCCATGTGTGTAGACTACTTTCTAGGATATCTTGTGAAGCTAGGAAAGTTTTAAGAGGAAGAAAGCTCAGAAGTAAAACTACCTGGTAAAGCTTCTAGACACTGAATTTGTCAATGTTTTCTACAGAATTATAACAAAACAAGTCAAATAAACCAAAAGTAAATGTCTATGACTACAACAAACTTGAGACCCACCAAACAGCAAAAAAGAATAATCAATAAAGAAAAATGGCAATTGTATATCTGATGAGAGGTTAATACCAAGAATACCTAAGAAACTTCTACAACGCCATAATGACACAAATAACCTGACAGAAATACGGCCAAAGGTGTTTTTAATTACCCAAACAGCTGTGTTTCTAATTACCCAAATGGCCAATAAGCAAATGAAGATGCTCAACTGCACTAATCATCTGGGAAACAAAAAATCAAAAGCACAATTAAATGTTATGGAATTCTGATCATGAATGTCACTATGAAAAGAATAGGAAATAAGTGTTGTTGAGGATGTGGAGAAGATAAACTTGTGCTGTGGACTACTAGAACACAAAACAAGAAAGGTTCAAGTACAGAGGCCTCTGATACTAGATAAAAGGCAGGACTAGCCTGTGACCTCCGACAGAAGGGAGATACGAGGACACTGATGGGGCCCTGGCATTAAATGCTCTGGTTCAGGGTACAAAAAGATTGGGACTCCCACTGAAATTAGTGCATAACAATAAGAACTGCAAGCAATGCAGAAAAACAAATTGTGGAAAATTAAACAGTGAGTAAAATTTATAGTGACTCTTAAAAAATTCTGGCTAGATATAACCTGTCCATGTTTCAGCAACATAAGAAATAAAGAAACTACATAAATGCTCTCAAATAAAAAAATATGGAAGCAAGCATGGTGGTACACATCTGTAATCCCAGCACTTGAAGGAGAGGCAGATGATTGGGAGTTTATGGTCATCTTTGGCTGGCTGCATAGTGAACTTTGGTAGCACACAGTCCCTAAAGGTACTACAGCAGTGGTTCTAACCTGTGGGTCGTGAGCCATTTGGGGTTTGGACAACCCTTTCATAGGGGTGGCATATCAGATATTTACATTACAATTCATAACAGTGGCAAAATTTTACATATGAACTAGCAACGAAAATAATTTTAGGGTTGGGGTCACCATAACATGAAGAACTGTATTCAAGGGTCACAGCTTTAGGAAGGTTGACAACCATTGTGCTAGAGGATGTAGAATATGAAAGATTAATTTCTCCAACTATGCAGCTTTTGGGAGGCTGTCATCTACACTGAATGGGACTTTTAAGTGACATTTTCAGAAGTAACCCTCATCCATGCTCTTGCAAGTATACCCCATAAACTTATTGATTTATTAAGCTGTACGTATTTTAATGGAATCATTCCTTTGATCAGTCATTGGTGTCATATCTGGATGAATGTTTGTTTATGTCTCTCAAGGAAGGTAGCACACTAATGACACATAGTTTCAATGCAATCTCAACAAGGAATTAAAAGGCTGATTCTATAATAAATTAAATATGGAAAAGGAGCTAGATAGGCAAAAGCTATGCATCATATCTGAGAGACATCAATGCTGATGAAGCCTAAATTCTTTAATTATAAGATGTATGATCTTGTAGATACTAAAAGAATCAAAAATAGCTAGCAACAGCAGGAAATCTAGTCATTATTGATATAAATACCTGAATTAATTTAATTTGACTTAAATAAGAACAGAAACAGCAAGATATTCCTAGAAAACACCCAGGAGAGGCATTAATTGTAATGAAGGTATCAGTAAAGGTTTCTGAAGATA